GTCAGCGAGAATTTCCACCGTGGTCTTCGTCGTCTTCTCCGTCAACTCGGGGTTGTCCCATCGCGCAACGACATGAGTGATCGAGCGTGTCGGCTCAAGAAGAAGATGTACGCGAGCTGCTACCGTCGTTGGACAAAGAAGCGGACGCTGATGATCGACAGCGATACAGTGTCTCACAGGCTCAATAATTGACAACGGCATGATATACGGCGTCACGCGCGAGTGTCTCGTATACAATCAGAGATTATAATACTGAGTCAGGATTATTTACTCATGGCCATGGTTCGGGAGCAGGCAATATAGACTGAGAACGTTGCAACTCATACTCGACGAGACTGCTGGTACTGACATGTACTAAGTAGCGACTATGTTGTTTTTCAGGTTCAGTAGATTATTCACAACTACAACTTGGGCTCACATATTTTTTTTTATTTCCCCGTATGTTCGCTATACAAGTTTAAGTTGCCGTAATTTGAGTGCCAGCCAGCAGCAGCACCGACAACATGAGTGTTTATTTTGGTTACGCTTTCGTAGCCGTCTGGGCTCGTTTGACTACTGATGGATTCTCCTTCGCCATTGCATCAGCTTGTCGAGTGAAGGCTGCCTCACAAATTCCTGAGCTTGTTGTTTTAAAACAGCATCACTCTCCACGGATATTTTAGTTTTACAGAATAGCATCGTTTTTCAGTTTCTCCACTTGTCTTTCCATGATAGCGTTATTCTTCACCGACCGTGCGAAGTGATCAAGTAATCGCGTATATCCTAAGATTAGATTTGTTTACTTGATATTAGATTACGTAGTCCTTAAGATTTAGTGTACCAGAGTTTTTTCCTTGCATTGTTTTCATATCTGTGTGCCGCGATGTAACGTAAAGCTGTCGGACATGCTCACACGCCTTTGCTCCTCTCACTCATGGTGCAACTAAGATAAGATGTGGGGAATGCTCAAGTCCAAAACCGAGCTGATACTCATGTATATAGCATTGCTCGGAACACGCAACTGACTGGTGAATAGAGAAGTAAACAAAGTAAACAATGCTCACAATCGTATTATATATATATCAAACTAACTTTTTCATAAATCTCTAATATCATAAGCTCAAAATCGATTCTTCGCATGGCCATCAAGTATTGTAGATGTTTACATGGGACGAGGTGCCATCTGATTACTCCTGGTTGAAGTGATACAACTTTGAAATGACGACCTCAGTTCTCACCTCTCCTTCGAGCAAGTAAGTGTCGCGCTTGATGATTTTTTGACATGGCCGCACTGTGGCCAACAGGGGCATCTTTGCCTGCGGCTTGCAACGCTACGTTCTCCTGCAATGTCTTCTCTGCGCACTTCGCCCTTTCAATTTGTACTACGAGCGCAGGGAATGCAGACAGAAATCCCGTTTACCTACTTGAACTAACCGTTATGTATGCGCCTAGCGCTTCTTGTTCTCTAGTCTACCGTCCCCAGTTGACCCTTTCCATCCAGGACAAACGAATGTCTCGTACTCGTGAGAGCGCACTAGAGCTGCGAGTGGGCAAGAAGTTCCGCCTGGGTCGCAAGATCGGCAGCGGCTCCTTCGGTGACTTCTATATGGGCACTAATATGACGTCGGGCGAGGAAGTTGGTATCAAGCTCGAGCCCTCCAAGAGCAAACACCCGCAGCTACTCTACGAGTCTAAGATCTACAAAATCCTCAATGGCGGACGTACGTGGCGCTTGGAGTTTCTTAATAGTAGAGTTGATAGCGCCTAACATGTTGTATTGCATTTACTTTTTCATTTTGCTGCAGTGGGGGTTCCAAACTTGAAATGGTTCGGTATCGAGGGGGAGTACAACGTAATGGTGATCGATCTATTGGGACCTTCACTCGAAGACCTCTTCAACTACTGTGGTCGTCGCTTCCAGCTTAAGACAGTTTTGATGATCGCCGACCAGCTGCTATGCCGTCTCGAGTACTGCCACTCGAAGAACTTTATTCACCGTGACGTCAAGCCTGATAACTTCTTGATCGGCCTCGGTAAGAGAGCTCAGATCGTTTACGTGATCGATTTTGGCCTGGCCAAGAAATACCGCGACCCCAAGACACACCAACATATTCCCTACCGCGAGAACAAGAATCTCACGGGTACAGCTCGTTACGCCTCCATCAACACTCATGTCGGCATTGAGCAGAGCCGTCGAGACGACCTGGAGGCGCTCGGCTACGTGCTCATGTACTTTATACGCGGTAGTCTGCCATGGCAAGGAATTAAAGCTAACACCAAGAAGCAGAAGTACGAGAAAATTATGGAGAAGAAGATGAACACTCCTATTGAGGTACTCTGCAAAGGCTACCCGGCCGAGTTCCGTGCCTACTTCGAGTACTGCCGCGCTCTGCGCTTCGATGACAAGCCCGACTATGCCTACTTGAAGCGTCTATTCAAGGAGCTCTTCTTCCGGAAGGGCTTCCAGTTTGACGCCATGTTTGACTGGACGGTGCTCAATCTGCGCAGTGGTCGTCGGGAGCGTGGCACTGGCGCTGAGGGCGAGCGCGGAACTCGTGCTAGTCCACACCAGGAGGGAGCACGTCGTGGTCGCGAGATCGCATCACAGGGTCGTGTGTATGTTCGAGACGAGGCAAAGGAGGGTGAAACGCCACTGCACAACCAAAACTTGTATCACGCAGCGACTGAGTCAACACGCAACCGTGAGCACCAAGAGATGACGATTGATCATGGGTATTCAGCTCCTCGTGTGGCCCCAACCTCCAGTCGCAACGCTCTCGGTGAGCCTAAACCAATGAGCCACCAACGCTACTAGGATGACCGGCTTTCGGGGAGTATGTCATGCTGTCGCTGCAAGTTGTATCGATCAACCCTATTGAAGGATAAGCCGCTTTGGTACAAAGGCTCAAGCCCTATTTTAGGGTGATACGCACACATCCATGCTGTATAAATGTCCAATCACAAGCTACTATGGTTAGGTTGATCTTGTGACATTCACGTCTGGCATACCTGTGACTCATGACATACATGTAATACACCACACTAGAGGCGATACTTTGGCCTGGGAGGACAGCAACTTTTTCCATTCAAAATGTACGACATTTTAGGAATTTTAAACTTCCCTATAGTATCCTAATTTTTTTTTAATTGGATGTTAACTAAGGTGAGCAGATGGAAGCGAGCGTAGCCAAACAAACCGCGCAATATTTTTGCGAAGGCAAGTCCACCAATGAATTTCGCTTTGAGCGCGCATTGCACAGGTCAGTTGAGAGAATCACTTTTTAGAGAGTGTTGAACATTTAGAACACCGTTAGGACTTTAGTCGAAGAATTTGT